TATATTGGTAAAGTTAATTAACAATTAAATTTTTATACCCATGTTTTTATTGTTTTAAATAAGTTAAAACTAAACTCGTTATAGAATATAGAAGATGGATGGGGTAAGGAGTCTTCAGTTGGGAGGTAAGAAATGCTATGCTGTGTTTAAAGGAGGCCAGACACACTGGATGCATTCAGATTCTGTTGTGAACTGTAGAGCTAGTAATATATGTTTTTAAAAATTAAGGGTAACAATTAAAATAATAGAAAAATAATCTATAGCTGCCAGATCACAGAAGAGGAAAGAAAGAAGAAATATAAAAGCAAATAGCAAAAAGCAAAAGGAAAAACTGAAGCAAAAATATATATATATATCATTAGTCATAACAGATGAAAACAGATTAAACTCACCCATGAAAAAGAAAGACTGTCAAATTGTCTTTTAAAAATCTTCTTTCTAGATATACACCTAAATAAAATTTTCAGAAAGTTTGAAATTAAAGAAATGGAAGATAGATAAGTAGATAGATATCAGGCTAAAAAGAAAACTAATTTATGGTTGGGAATAGAAGGAAATTTCCTTAATCTGATAAAGGCTGCCTATCAGAAACTTTCCAGAAGCATTGTTGTTAGTGTTAAAACACTAAAGTATTTCCAATGCAGTACAATAAGATTCCCTCTATTGCCACTTCCATTCAGTATGGTACATATCACACTGTAAGTTATCAATACAGTGATCAGGGAAGGAAATGAATTATGTGAATTGGAAAGAGTCCCATGGTTTTTACATGTCATATAATGTTCTACATAGAAAAATCTAAGACAATCTATAGATATATTTTCACGACCCATAGGAGACTTCAGCATGCTTTTAGATCAACATAAAGATATAGGCAACATTACAACACAGTAGTAAAGATGAATTATAAAAGGGGAAGAAACCCACTTCCAATAATAATAGAAGCTAAAAGATACCTGTGCTTTGGTCTAAATGTTGGTGTCCTCCAAAATTCAAGTGTTGTAATCTAATCCTAAGGTGTGTGCCTTAAAAGTGTACCCTTGGGGGGTGATTAGGCCATGACAGCAGACTAGGGGAGCATGAATGAGGTTGATGTCCTTACAAAAGAGGCCTGGAAGTGCTTTCTGGCTCCCTCCCCACATGAGGACTCTGAGAAGATGGCCATCTAGGAACCAGGAAGCACCATGAGCCTGCTAACACTTCGATCTTGGACATATACCAGCCTCTAGAACTAAAAAAAGTAAATTTATCTTGTTTATAAGCCACTCAGTCTATGGTTTTCTGTTGTAGCAGCCCAACAAACCAAGACACCTGGGAGGTAAAATCTAATCAAAATGTACAAGTCCACTATGGAGAAACTTAAATATATTGACTGAAAGGCATAACATTAAATCTGACTAAATTAGAGGCAAGCGATGTTTGTAAGTTTGGAACAGATCTAGTTCTTTCCAAAATAAAGATTGATAAGGCTGACTACTTTAAAATTAAAAACTTCTGTTCAACCAGACATCATAAATAAATCAAAAGATGCATTATGGGATGGAAAAGACATTTGCAATACAATATATACAAAAACGAATATGAGAATTTACAAATGAGTAAATGATCCCAAAAACCCAATAGAAGAATGAACACAGGATATGCACAGGCAATTCTTAGAGGAGGTAATCTAAATGGATGCTCAGTCACAGAAGCTCCACTTCAAAGAAGAGAGGATTATAATAACATGAGATGCCATGTCACCTCCATCAGTTTGACAGAAATGAAAATTCTAGATGTTCTAAAGCAGGAGAAACTCTGGAGTGCTGCTAGTGGAAGGATAAGCCTGTGGAGATCAGCCAGATGGCAGGGGCACTGTGATGGGCTGTGATGAGCCCCGAGGGCTCAGGAGTTGTGCAGTAGAGAAGGGATTCCTAGAGTTTAAGATGAAGAAGTTGGCTGATGGCCTCTAGAAATGGGCCAAGGTGCAAAGGCAGGGATGCAGGGAGTAGCTTGTGAACTCCCCCCAGGGCCGTGTAGGAGCCAAGAAGCTAGAGCTCTGCCTCCCCAGACCTCACTCATCCCACAACCTCCAGCTGACCCGGGCACTCCCTAGTGGAAGAAGGCACCTTATGAGAAACACAGGGCCATCTGAGAAATGCCACCTCTGCCACAGCTCCTCTGCAGCTACACGCAACAGCTGCAAGCTTGCTTGGAATTCAGCTTTGTCTTGGGGCATAGAGCATTTCTGCATACACAGACCCTCTCTCTGTTCACTAATAACTGCTGGACTTCTAACTGAATGGTCTCTAGCATATTTCAACCCAACATAACCTGAAGCACCATTTCTTCAACACTGGTTCCAGGCTGTGAAGGCTGAGGGCTCTCCAAGCTTTCCATTGGACCCATCTATTTAATGTTTCTTAAGTTCCTGAGGTCCCTGGTGTAGTAGGATTGCTTCTTCCCCATGCTCTCAGGCTGCAAGATCAACCCAACATCACTCAAGAGGCAGCAAGACCAATGGTGTTGGGGTAGGGATGCCAAGAACAGTGAACCTGGGTCACGTCAGGTTCTGCCACTAACCAACCATACCACCTTGTGCAGAACACTTATTCTCTCTTGTGACTCAGTTTCCTCTTCATTAAGTGAGGATAATCATTACATACCTCATGGAATCATAGCAATTAATATATGAGAAATACACAGCTCTGGCACACGAGAAGTGCGGGATTGACCTTGGATGTCATCATTGTCATTTATTATACAAATTGAATCTCTGTTGCTTGCTACCAGAAGAGTTCGTTGTGAAGAAAAATAATATACCTCATTTTCTGTTTGTCTTGCAGCAAGACATATGTTATTCCTTTGCAGTGCAGCTGCCCCGTGGATTTCGAGTTCCAGGTCACTTTGATCCAGTCTCACCAAGCCTTTGTTATTGAGCCAACATCAGGTACAGGGAGACAAAGTTTCTATTTCCAATTTCCTTGTAGTTCCCAGACCAGAGGCTATACTTGGAAAGTAGGTCTGAAGTTCAAAAAGCACAGAATAAACCATGTTTGAATGTATTACATTTTTTCAAATGTGCCGTGACAGTGACAAATTTTATATAATTTTACATAATGTAAATTGGAATTACACACAGGAACAAGGGCACTTTTGAATAATTTGTATTATACAGATGATTAATAATAATGTCTAGGTATGTGTCTCCAAAGGCCAAAACTTGAAATTAGAAATTAATCCAATCTAATTCTAATTTTGGTTCTTGGTAATCATTGGTTTTGGATTCACTTTTTAATTCAATTTCAAATAGAATGGCAATGTGGTTTCTTCACAAGCCTTCAGAGTCTCAGTGACGGGTCTAATGAATTTTTCTGTCTCGGTGAACACTCTGTCTTTGCGTGCCCCAAATGCCATAATTCCCTCTACTTTGAAAATGAGATCCCTTACATTTGCAAGTGAAATTGAACACCTGAAGTGATTTCTACTTTGCATTTTTTTTGTCTCTTGATATTTAGGTTTGGTATTTAAATATCTGTCCGCAGTGGTCTGCTGTGAATGCTAAAATAAGTCTAGGTAGTCATTTGTATACAACTTTTTCATAATGTGCAAGTGAATATTTTGACCAATAAATGAGTTTTCAAAGCAGAAACTTTTAATGAATTCTAAATTTTGAAATGTGTGTAGGTTATTTTCTATAGAACTAGAAAACATTCTGAGATTTAAAAAATATGAGGTAACTATAGTTTACATTGCATTACTTCTCGGCCTTTTGGCTAAGATCAAGTGTATCATTTATATTGCATAAAATGAGACTTGATACTCTTTCCAGAGAGAACAAGTTTATTAGATTCAGCTCTCTGAGCCTTTAAGAGAAGGGAAAATAAGTGGTTTCTAAAGTCATACTAAATAAGATAATATTTTAGCGATATATGTATAGCTTATATTCTCAAAATAATCCCTTTGTTTGAATATGTTACATGTAGAGGTTGTTATATGCTAGGCACTATTCTAAGAGAGATGTACAGTCTGTTACTCTATACCAGTACCATGTCTGGTCAGGTACTGTTATTTCCATTCTCTAGACCCAAGTATGAGGCACCAAGGGTTAAATACCTCCAGTGCCACTCAGTAGTGAGAGGTGGAGACAAGATTTAAACCCATGCAATCTGGCTCCAAAGTCTATATGCTGCTTCTTAAAGTGCAAGTTGAGTTTTCATCTTAAGTCTTAAGAGGTTATAAAAATTTTCCCTATAAGGTATGTTGGCAAAAGGAACCAGCTTCTTGATCTTGGTTTAGAGGACTTAGAGAAGTGGTGATCTTAGCAAGAAAGAAGAAATCCTGCTGTCCACCCTGGGCCTCCAGTGTCACTGGAGCTCTGGGATTGTCTCTGAGAAGCACACTGAGGTGCTGATGAAGAACATCAAAGTCCTACCAAAATGCTTGTTCAGCATTGTTGATGACTGGTAGAACAGGGCGGAAAGGAAGCCAAACACCAGAGAAGAGGCTAGACCAGGTCATTGTCCCCAGATGTTGATTACTTGAGAAAACTATGAAGCCCAGGGACTTGTTCCTGGTAATTTGGGTTTAGTGAGTCTGGGAAGGGCCTGTTTTTCTATACTTTTAATAAGCACCTACCTGCGATTGTGATAGCGACATTCTTAGAGTGGTGTTTGAGAATCATTGAATTGGCTTGATCTGCAGGTGCTGCCCCACCTGATGGGCTATAACTCTAAGTTCAAGATACAGAAGGAAACACTTAGATTTCTGAGCAATTGTGGTGGAAGGTGGTTTGTAGACAGGCCATTCTACAGTGTACAGGTACAATGAGGTGGGTATGGCCAAGAGTCAAGGCAATCATGGTGTTGGGATAAAATAATGTGGGTCTCTAGAGCCTAGATGGATCTGGTGTCAGGAAAAGGGAAGAAAGCTGGAGATCTGATTGCCTAGCCATACTTCTCTAAATATTTATGTCCTAAAACCAGGAATATTAAATTACCATAGGAGTTTTGAGATATAATCTATCCAAAACCCAGCAACTACATACATAAAAGCAATCATGTTTGAACAGAGCTCACTGATCACTGTGTGTGAAACACAAAAGACCTTCATTCAGGTCTTTCCCTAAATGCTCAGATTATAAAATGCATAGCTACATAATTCAGACAGATGTGTGATCCTTGAACTATTTTATTTGACTCATCTCCTCTGCTTTTGTGGCTGTTCCCGTGCTTTTTTTTTTTTTTTTTTTTTTTTTTTTGTATTTTAAATTCCTCCTTTGAATGAAATTAAATTGCCTATATCAGGTTGAAGTCAAGAGAGAGGGAAGCATAGGGACATAGATTCTTTTACATCACCTAGGTATTGATGCAGGGAGTAGAGATGAGGTTACCCAGGAGGTGAGTGTGGCTAAAGAGGAGAGATGGGCTGTGGAGCTGCCCCTGAGCCGTTGAGCACTCAGAGGACAGCATGAAGAAGTGGACCCAGGGAGAGAGATCATGAAGGAAAATCAGGAGAATTGGCAAAAGAAATGAAAGAATGAATCCAAGCCAGGCCTCTTGAGTTTTGGAAATCCTTCTTCCACCTTTGTAAATCACTTGCACTGTGTGGATGGTGTTGCTAACTTGGCTTTACTAACTGTTCTCAGACTGGGCCATTCAGCCTCCCAGACTTTATGTGACTGAGTACGTGCATCTGTTGGTCCACTGGGTATCTCAGGAATTATCTTGCTTTGGCTTCCCACTTTCTGAGTGTATCCACGCATCATTGACTGTTACTCTTTCGAAACTGCAGAATTTAGTGATGGCTTGTCCTCACTTGCAATACAAAGGCACTAGCTGCATGGAAAGTGAACACAGCTCAGGCTGCCGTGTCCCCCAGGAGGGCTTTGAGCTCACTGACTTTCCTGATATTGCAGGCATCTGTCCC